AGTGTCAAATTCAGGAAAGGCAAGGGTGATGGAGGAAACTATGAGGAGACTGGGAAATGTAGCCAGAGGGGACAGGAGCTAGACAAAGACAGAGCTTCAAAATGAGTGAGGACAGGGGACAAGAAAGTTTGTGCTTTAAGGGGAGCCTTTAGGCTTCTCTGAGTAGGAGTTAGAACAAACCTGTTGACCTGAGGGCTGATGGCCTTTTAGGCCGGAATTAGCATTAAAATAATAAATACTCCTTTCATACCTACACTGGCATACCTCACTTTGGAAAAAGCTACTCTAAAGTCTTATTAATATGAATGACTCTTCTGTAGTTGGTGGATCATTAGGGTAGAGAACAGAAGGAAGTTTATCTCTGCACTAACTATACATATCAGTGTTTGCTTATCACATTATAAACAGAATTTCAAGGCAAATGTTCAAAATAAAACATTGCTCATAAGCACTTCAGAAGCTACTGATTAAACATATGTAAGTAATGAAAACATTTTCTGACTCAAAATCATAACATACAGGTTGTAGTACCTGCTCTACCACTTATTCTTTATACTTGGGCAAGTCATTTGACCTCTCTGAAACTCATATTGCTCATAAGCACTTCAGAAGCTACTGATTAAACATATGTAAGTAATGAAAACATTTTCTGACTCAAAATCATAACATACAGGTTGCAGTACCTGCTCTACCACTTATTCTTTATACTTGGGCAAGTCATTTGACCTCTCTGAAACTCAGTTTTGTGAACTGTAAAACAAGTATCATAATACCTATCATAAGGTTGTTGTTAGGTCTAAATAAACTTGTGTAGCTTAAGGTGTTTATATATTTTTAAATTGTGTAAAAGTATCCATCAGTAATTATCCTTAGTGATACATGACCATATATTAATAAGCAATCCTATTGGGCACTAGTTTTGAATTAATTTTGAAAAGTAATAAGATATATATCTCTTATGATTCAACTTTTTCATTCTTTCAGATTACACTTCTCTATAATTAATCTGAATTAATTGGTTTTAATGTGACAAATTAGGACTTAGCCTTTTAACTGTACAGTAATGAAAATAGCAGACAGTTAGAAGACAAAGTATGTAATCTTAGACCAGGACATCATAAGACCCATGTTACTTGAAACATTTTAACACATTAATGAACTGAAAGATTTCATTTTTTTTCTTTTAAATTTTATTTTTATTTTTGTTTTTTGCTTGACTGAAAAGAAATCAACAAATATTTTTTGAACAAATATTTCTTTGTTTTTGTATCACTCTTATTTTCATTTTTCCAACCATATAATTGAACATTTTTTCCACACATAAACTCCTACTAAGGAAAATGTTACTTAGTTAAATAACTGGTTAATCTAATTAGATATCATATTTTAGTGGTAAAGTTTCAGACAAATATCAAAGTTTAAGAGAATCTTTCCTTGAGAGTAATTGTATGTTTTCTTTTTAATATAGTGAACAAATATTTAAGTTCTGAAAATCCACTGTTCTTTGAACTACGTGCCAGATACTTAATTGCTTGTGAACGCATACCCGAAGCAATGGCTCTTATTAAATCTTGTATAAATCACCCAGAAATCAGTAAAGACTTGTACTTCCATCAAGCACTCTTCACATGTCTGTTTATGTCACCTGTAGAAGATCAGCTATTCCGGGAGGTATTGTTTGAAATTATTTTTGCCTATTACCATTTTAGCCCTACCAAAAAAAATAACCTATTGTTGTTGTTAAATTCCTTTTACAGTAATACCAAATATTTAAAAATTACATTATCCAGATGTGTTCTTTGGGCATCATTCTTTAAGTTTGTGTTGAATTAGTCAGAATCTGATATTAACAAATGATGATATTAATAAAATATACTCATTAACAAGCATTATTCATATTGAGCTTTTGGTGTGATAAGGAAGAGCATTAAAAACCAAGAAGCATTATGATTTTTGCCTTTTAAATAAAGTACTAAGAAGTTAAATGCTCATGTTTATTTTGTTTTTTCAAGATAATAGAATTAATCTTTTTCTAATATGAACCCTACTTGCCTATAGATTGTGGACATTAATGAAATTAAAAGTAGTCATTTTAAAATGTAGGTGCTATACAGTGAAACTATGAAATCGTGAAAATACTTCTATACAATTCATCATTTTGTAGAAAGAAACTAGAAATCTAATTTCTTTTACATTAAACATTTATTGCAACTAGCTTTTTAGATATTTTTAATGATGCAAACTGATTTTCCTTTTCCTCAGCATTTATTGAAAACTGATTGTAAGAGTGGAATTGATATCATCTGTAACACTGAAAAAGAAGGCAAGACTATGTTAGCCTTGCAACTCTGTGAATCCTTTCTTATTCCACAGCTCCAGAATGGGGATATGTACTGTATCTGGTAAGTGTTTCTAAAAACAGAAATTGAAATGGTGAGATGGACAACAGAAGAATTGGTTAGCAGAGTATGGACTTTATATATATTTTTTAAATTGTATGAAAATGTTAAACCACCTTAAAATAAAAATCTATTGTGCAAGGAATAACAGATTCTAAGAACTAAAGATTTTAAAAAGAAAATAATCATGTACCACTAATTGATAGTGTAAATGTTTAAAGGTATATGTTATAATGAAACAATTATGTATGAAATTAAATTTCCAGATTGGAGTATGAGCTTTTAAAAACATTTTTAAGATGACTTAAAAGTTGCTAGTAGGATACATGAAGCATCAAGTTTACCTAGCAATCATGTAATTTAAAATGTGGTAGAAGAGTTTTTAGTGCCTACCCTTCAAGTGCTATTAGGTGAAATCATTTGCTGAACATATAATCTGAAATGATCATGGGCTATAAACATACTTCAGTATTCTTGTTTTATACATTAAAATCTTCAGATTCAGAAACAGAGTCAAATAGTTAATTAGAGCTGAGTCTAGAAAAAAGTAAACTTGTCTTTTAGGGGAGTACAATATACTTTCAGTTACATTCAGCTAATTTTTATTCAAAAATATATATTATGTAAATTGGAATTTCAAATACAGGAAGAGAGGTAGTGGTGAGACATATACTCTTAAATAGTTTTCAAAGTGTTACCATTTTTAGATATGCAGTTATTCTGAAATTAAATATAGTCATGACTATTATAGAAGATCTTTTCCTATGAGGACAGGAATGATCTCTGCCTGGCTATATTTATTTAAATAGGTTATCTTAAATCGTTTCATTTTAATATACTCATAAGTAACTGGAATCAAGTGTAAATAAATAAAAAAACAGGAAAATATATTTCATTTTCTTATTCTCTTGGCTTATCAATTTCTACTCTTTAGGGATGGACTTTAAAAATAGAACAATGCCTATGTTCCAGCTCTTGGCCACAAACACCTTCTAGGAATAAAAGCTGGGTGTGACTCCAGCTGCCTAAATGGAAAGGAGTCTTTAGCTTTCCTTTTGGCACTTCCTTCTGAATTGCACAGGTCCTGATGGCCTGCCTTCGTATTTTCTCTGTCTCACCTCTATATTTCTGAATGCCGTGGTCCTTTTTCTTGCTTCTAATTTACTGTAATTTGAAGAGCAGGCTTATTTTCAGCCTGCAAAGTCTGTATCGTCTGTTTCATCCTGGCCTTCCCTATGAGCCAGCTTGCCCTTCCTCTCCCCTCTGTGTGGACAGAACCAGATCCACAGTCTAGTCTGCTGTATCTCAAGCCAATGGGGCAAGCTACTAACCTTGTTTCTCTTTCATTATCACTAATAATAATAATAGCAGCTGCTAACTTTTGCTGAGTGCTTCCTATATTCTATGCTTTATATATACATTACCTCATTTAATCCAGCAATCTTATGAGATAGACAATATTGTGCTCAAGCCATTCAACTAGTAAATAGTGAAGCCAGGATTCAAACCCAGGCTGCCTGCCTTACAGCCTCTGCTATTAAACATAACTTACTATGAATGGGTCAAGTCTGAAAAACAAAACAGCAATCTTATGAGATAGACAATATTGTGCTCAAGCCATTCAACTAGTAAATAGTGAAGCCAGGATTCAAACCCAGGCTGCCTGACTTACAGCCTCTGCTATTAAACATAACTTACTATGAATGGGTCAAGTCTGAAAAACAAAACATCTACATTGTAAGGGTGATTGTAGACCCTGTTATAGCCTTTTCTCAGAAACTAGATAATGTGATTGTATTATTGAGAAATGTGTTTGTACACTGAATGGGTGCTATGTTTTCTAAAGGGCCTACTGACTAAGAGAAAATGATATGCTTCATTAAACCTGCCTTTTAGTCTTCTAAAAGAGTGTCAGTGGTTTTCAGGATTTTTGTTTATTTTTTGTTTTCCTTCAAAATCCAATGTACAAATAAAACTCAGGAACCCATTTATAAAATCAAAAGCTTAATAACCATATTTTGAGATTTTTGCCTTGACTGCTACGAAGCTAAAATCCACACTAGTAGCCGTCTCCTAGAAAATTTAGTAGGATCCTGGGATACATTTTGTTTACCAAATTTTCCCTTAACAGCAACAAAATGGAAATAAGATCTGTCTTTAAAAAAAAAAGAAAAAAATCAAATCAAATCATTTTGTGCCGTAAGAATATCGTAAGGATTCTCAAATTATTTTTTGGAACAAGTTGGAAAATAAATATATACACTTCTAATATGTTACATATTAATTTGTATAATATTGAATGGACTCTCTCTCCCGTGATTTCCAACTATCATTTTGTTTTAAAATCTGTTGCAGATATGCCATGTCTTCTTAAACACAGTCAATCTGTTTGCCTTCTTCCATCCATACCCCATTTTTCATAAAATACCCCTTATTTAGAATGTTCATATGATCTTTTATCTCATTCCATGTCTACAATTTCTCTTAACATATTCCCTTAAAATTCTTCCTCTAAATGCTTTTAGCATTTAGGAGTACAATTTTTGCTAGATTATCAGCTATCGAGTATTTATTGAATAAGTCTTGCTGCTTGATACAATGAAGACTACAAAGACAAGGAATCAATATAGGAAACTAGTGATTTATTAAAATACATCAGTACATGCCAGACATTTCACCTATGTTTTTTCACTTTCTATTTTTTAAAATAATCATGTTGTAGGAATAATCCCATCTTTTATGTGTAAGAAAACTAGGTAAGAGATAAAAGTCATATAGCTAGTACGAAATGGAGTTTGAATTTATATTAGTCAGTTTGCAAGCGATAGCATCTATATCTAACTAGTGTAGGGAAAAGGATTGAAAGGATACTGGGGTATAACATGAACCACAAGAAGAGGAGGGATACAGTTGTTCCTCAAAGATAACTGCTACCAAGGATGCTGAGATCGCTAATGTTTTTTATAGACATGTTTTTGTCAGTTGGCTTCAGTCTCTCCAGCTACAGATCAATAGGAACACCAACAGTCCCCAAGCATTATAATTTAGAGTTGAGAACATCCCAGGGACACTGACTGGTCTGATTGGGGTCAGTTTCCTACTCCTGAATTAGTATCTTAAAGGAGGAAGGGAGGGTCGAGTTCCACCCCTATGTATAAGGGCTATTCCCAAAAAAGAGTGGTTCACTGTGAACTGGGTAGCACCACTTCAATTAGTGTATAATGCTGTATTGAGATTTAGGTCCCTCTTATTCCCAATCCCATTGTTTTTGCCACTACCTCCACTATACAATGTGTAATTGAGGAGATTTACAATGTATTAACAGTTGGGGAAATAGGACCTAAAAAATATAAACAAGGTAGCATATGAAAAGCATGAAATCATTAAGAGAGATAAATTCTATTCTGAAGTTGGTATCACCGTAGTGTGGAGTATTCATGAAGGCTTTCATGAAGAGACACTTGATACGGCCTTTGAAAGATAAGCTTGACTTAGAAATGAAGAAGTACTTTCCAAGTAGAGACATCAGCATAAAGAAAAGTGAGAATAAATGAAACACTTTAACGGACAGTGAGGAAATCAAACTAGAAGAGTACCCAAGATTCAAATCCTGATCCTTCTGACCCCAAAATCTGTTTCTGTTGCAATTAACACTATACAGCATTTTGAATAAACACTAAATTAAATGATCAGGGAGGATGGAAACAGATCAGGTTAGCAACCACTGTAGAAAAATACATCTATAAAATTAAAGGCCTAATGTGGTAGCATTGAGAAAGAATAACACAACTGAGCAAAAATATAATTGCAATATAAAGACACTGGTAAAATAAACAGGTCAAAACCAAACAGGCCAGAGGAATGTTTATTGTCAGTAACTGATCTAGGAGAAGATCATCAATTTTGCAGTAATATATTTAGTTCTAAGTGGATTAAGGTGATGGAAAGCAATCTAAGTTGAAATACCCAGGCATGAAAATGTGGAAAGAAGTCAGAGCTAGAGATTTGGAAGGAAGATGTGAAGCCTGGTGAACATTCTAAAGAAGTACGTATGCAAAAAAAAGTGGGTGGTGGACTGAAATTTAAGGAACACTGATATAGCTAGTATCAAATGGAGGTGGAATTTTGGTTTCACTTCTTATATGTTATTTGCTGTCATTTTCTGTTTTGTGTTTTCTGAATTGTCTCTCTAAGTAGAATATGTGTACCTTCATTATGGTAATCAAGCTGTCCTCAGATTTAATAGCTAGGCTCAAAGTACATACTCAGTAATCACATTTTTCTTAAAAAAAACATTTTCATCAGTTATTTTAATACTTTTACATTATGATGCATTGCATAACTTTTATGGCATGTTTTAAAAAATTTTAATTTGCTAAAATGTGACATCCAAATATATCAATTATATCTTATGATATGCCTTTGCCTCAAAACCCACTGCTCTGAGCCTTGTTCATCTAATGACTTTGGCCATATTTTAGATAAGAATCTACCTATGAAATATGTTAAATGGTCCGTAGCTTTGTTTAAAAGTACCATATCTTTTAAGAGCAGATGATCAAAAACATGCAATTTCAGAATCAGTCACCCCTTCATATCCGCGGGTTTCACATCTGTGGATTCAACCAACAGCAGAAAAATATTCAGGAAAAAAAACTGGATGTGTCCGTACTGAACTGTCAGACTTCTTTTGGTCATTATTCCCTAAACAATAAGGCACAACAACTGTTTACGTAGCATTTACATTGTATTAGGGATTATAAGTAATGTAGAGATGATTTAAAGTATATATGTGCATAGATTATATGCAAATGCTATGCCAGTTTATATAAGGAACTTGATCATCTGTGGATTTTTGTAATGCAATTTCAGAATCAGTCACCCCTCCATATCCGCGGGTTTCACATCTGTGGATTCAACCAACAGCAGAAAAATATTCAGGAAAAAAAACTGGATGTGTCCATACTGAACTGTCAGACTTCTTTTGGTCATTATTCCCTAAACAATAAGGCACAACAACTGTT